AAAATAATTTTTAAAAATTTTTGTTTCTTGCTAAGAGAAAAATTCCAAATTTTGAACAGAATAAAGTACACGCTTTCTATATAAAATTTTCAGCAACAAGGACAAATTTTAAGTGATGACTTCTACGCGACAAAATAAAACTGAAATGAAGAATAACAAAACTTCGATTAGTGCTTCGTTTCTCAGTTACTGTCACTTAAAACAGCGATCTAAAGGTGCCTGGGAGCTAGCAGCCCGTTGTACTTCTCTGTACAGTGGGTTGTCTGCTCGTAGGCGCCCTTGGACCAACTTTTCAAGTACTTACAACTAAGAAACGAAGTCTCATTTCTTTCATTTCATCACACAGAATGTCCCTAACTTATTACTTATTAACACTCTGCACAATAAATACCTTATAATTCTTTTGTGAACACGATCGTTAAATTTTCAACGTCAATTCACTCGAAAACGAAGCTTCGTACGAGAAAATCTTGCTTCACATTTTCAGCTGAATTTTTGTTAGCGTAGAACCGTTCCTCGATATCTCGCGAAGGCGGGAATCGGTTAAAGAGTAATTCGAGGTTATGTTCAAACAGTTAGGCAGTCCAGGCGGCGATATCGACCTGAGCACGAAGCAGATCGCGAACATCAACGATGTTTGCGAAAGCATGAAGCAGCAACTGCTGATCCTAGTCGAGTGGGCCAAGTATATACCCGCTTTCAGCGAATTGACCCTCGACGATCAAGTGGCCCTTCTCAGGGCGCACGCGGGCGAACATCTTCTACTGGGTGTCGCCAGGCGCAGCATGCAGCTCAAGGACGTGCTTCTTCTGGGCAACAACTGTATCATCACCAAGAATTGTCCTGGTACGTCCTTCTGTGCTTCTTTCTTAGGTGTTGGCTATATGTTCAGTTTTGTTTGGTTTTTTTTTTTTTGGTTAATCTCTTGACGACGAAATTGAGATATTGAGAAATATTTAAAGGGTGTGCTATTTCTGTGGAATTGATGTATTTATTGTACAATAGTTAGAGTATTGGTGGGAATTGTGATATTCTTCTGTCGAAGCATTTTGGTAGAGAAATTGTATAAATAATATATTGCTATTATTTGGTCTTATTGGAAGATTTTCTTTCTTTAACTTGTGCAGCTGTTAATTATTGTAGAGTTTATCATGGATATACCTAACCTTAAAATTAGTGACTGGAAAAAGACAAATTAATTCTTAATCTAACGTAACCTAAACTGAAATATAGTCTATAATGTGTATATAATTTATCATACTATGATCTATTATCGTATATGTAATGTATTATATTATAATTAATGTTTTATAAATTTTATACATTTTATAGTCGAATTAATTTGTAAAATCGTTCTTGTCGAATTAAACGTTCGTCGTCAAGGGATTGAAAGACAATTTTGTACGATAAGTTTAGTTAAATAATCGCGTTAAAACTAACCCAGCATTGTTAGCAGTGAGACTAACTCAACTATTGTTTAAAAACATCTATCTAACTGCTTCAGTAGTCATTTAGTTTCGCAGAAGGTACATACTTACTCATTGGAAGAGTATATGAATTATTATGAACTTTTTATTGTATACTCTAATTAATAAATAACTAGTTTCCTTGTAGTTAAATTATAGTTAAATTAACACTGGCAAACTATCGTGTCTGAACAAAAATAAAATAAAAATATTGATTATTTACAAAATGGCAGCATTTCCACTTTAGATTATCGATTTTTTTCATACTTTGCCGTCTTTAGCGTGTTAAAAGAGTAAGAAAAGGAAGTTAAAAATTTTGGTTCGCCCGGCAACAGAATGTGCGCCGAGGATTCTCTACAAATTTCAAGCCAATCGATAAACCAGAACTCGAGATATCGCGTGAACCGTTTGGAAAAATCAGGTTTCGAGAAAAACGTGTTTAAAGATTCGTCTGTCCATTTCGTTACGGTACGACTGCATCCTTCAAACGCTTACACCTACATTAACTTTACGAATTCTAACAAATCCTTTTTCACACGCGTTCCAGAATACGTATACTTCAAGAAAATGCGAAAAAAGAAATTGACTTTTTGAAAGTTCAAAACCAGAATACTCCCTTAGTATTCATTATTTAATATACCGTTTAATAATATTACGAGTAATTAAAATTCCGTTTCGAAACAGTTTTGCTCGCTGTCCCCTAAACATAAGCGATTTCTTAATTTCAAAAATCTTATCAGTAGATTCGCGATCGTTGTACCTTGCCATTTCAACTATCGATGATAACGGTAACGTACTGTTGCAGAAATAAGATAGATAGTCAAAACATTGCAGATAGTTTAAAGGGAAGTACAAAAATAGACAATGTATATTTACTGTTTTATCTGATTTATAAATTATGTCACGGAATGTAATTTCATAAATAAAATATTCTAAATTTTC